CTTCTTCTTTGTATCTTATGTATATCTGTATTTGTATCTCTTTATCTGTCATGCGGGGCAATCGCAGCAAATTGGCAAAATTCTCTTTTATCGACCTCCTGCACACCACCTCCCTCCCTGGAAGCCCGCATCTTCTGGATTCTTTCCAGTTTTCAGATGCTGCGGAAGCTTCCAGCTGTCAGAGCCACAGCAACAACAACGCAGACGGATCAACTGAAAACTCAGCCAGCATAAACACACACATGTTAAAATAGCCTAACCAACGCTCACAACTGCAGTTCTGTCCAGATGAGATCCACAATGAAATACAGTCGAGCATCCGTAAGGCAAACTAATGTTTTTGTGTATGTTCCTGCCTTCAGAGGATGGTTTTGAAAGAGGTTGTCCATTACTACACATACATACATATGTATGAATATACATATATGTACATACATAGTTTGAATAAACTTGAATGATATATTGCCAAATTATTTCGTATACTGCACATTTTTTAAATAGGAGATCTAATCATTTAGGAAGTCGTAATAAATTGTATGAAAGTGCTTGAATGCTGATTAGGGTATCAGTTCCAGACATTTTCTTTCACTTTCTAATATTGGGAAACCCAAAAATTATGTGCAATCTCATAGCAATGTTATAAAAAAAATTTATTTAGTTAGTTGAAATTAAATGCGGTCCAATTTCCCATATAAAGCGATTTTATTATCACACTGTTTCCTTAACCAAGCGATTTGCAGCTCAGCCTTATATTTCTGACGCTGACAATGGAACTTGATTTTTATTGTCATACGTGATTTAATGAACAATGACGACTGCTTAGGACTTGAGCGTCGAAATGCAATGCACAGCGAAAAGTCCCCACGAGCCATTGCAAAATGAAAAGCTGAAACGGCAGTAAGAGTTGTGCTCTCCCTACCCTCATAATATCATATCATATCATTCATACCATATATGTACATATGTATGTTAAAATGTCTGTTCAGGTTCCTTTATGGGGACTGGATTTGTCCCCGCCGTGATTACTCCGCCTTATTGATAATACTGGGTGAAGTGGCAGGGAGTGGCTGGGATGAAACCTCGTGGGGCTTCTTGTCCAATGGCTGTGGTTAAAGAGCAGCTCTTCAGCCGGGATGTTCGTTACCCCTTATGATTACGACAGTCTCTGTTGTCTATCTTTTTGCTTTGGGATTCCATTATCCAACATTTTGCTTTGCTTTCTCCGTATTGTTGCGAGTGCAGTTCGCATTTGCTGATGATGAATATGCTAAATTCTTGCTCGTCTGTCTGCCTGCATTGCAAGGTGTGGGTGCCTTTCCACTAGAATAATATACACATGTTTTCTTGGCTTTCAGCTGAAATCCGTTCTATTCTCTGAATCAACCGTGGAGCTTATAGCTCCATCCGAATTCGGGCTAGAAATCGGAGCTTCGCCCGCTAATTGGCCAATACGAACAGAGGTGTTGAGTGTGGGCTCACCTATGAAATGAATGCGAAACAGCTGAAATCACTGTCTCTGCGGCTGACGTGGTCATATATTAATACCTCATATATGTACTCCATTATGGCAGCTAACTGCTAACCAAAATAACAGAATAGAATAGCAGAAAATATATAACTTATTGCCTCTTTGCTCTCATTAGGCTGTTCACTGAATGTTTTGATTGGCCCAGCATTAAAGTAATACTTGTAGACAAATGTAAGACCCTAGAATATTTTTCTATAATTCCATCGTCTCACTTTCCTGAGCCAGAACAATTTGTTTTCATACCAACTCAATTTCTTGCCATTAAAAACGTTTATTATTGGTACAATTGTTTATGGAAAATGTGCTTTATCGGCCCGCCAAGGCGTCAAAGTGCCTGAATGTAAAACATTTGCGTTGCGGTTATTGGAGATGTGGATTCAGTAAATTCGACTTTGATTTCGCTATCCAAAGTACAGCTCAAGTGAAGGCCCCTTCTATATGTAGTATATTTCTGTTTATATGGAGCGGGAAGCGACAATCTTTGTTTAGCCTCTATCGAGTGCGCAGTACTTGAAGTCGGAGAATATCTGGCTTATTTTCCTCCTAATGCATAACATTATAATAACAGATGCTTACATATATACTTTGCAGTTACATAGGAAATTGGATCAATAATATACAAACAGCTTGAAGAATATAATACCTATTTTTGGATCAGATTTTCAAATGTGAATGTTGCTTTTAATATCATTCTAATTGCAAGAAATGGATGAATCTCATTGATTTCTGATCAACAAAGCTTTTTCCTCAGTCCGAAGTATTCCGCAGCTCTTTCGATCGCCTTCATCGTTAATGAAGGAATTAGTCATATATAAGTACCTATACTTTCCAAACACTTAAAAGGGCCCAGGGCACTCAAACTGACTGTAAGCGGAAATGGGCTCCTAACTTGCTTAGCAAGGTTCTAATATAAGCCCTATCAATTTATGACTTACTTAGAACTTTCTTAACTCTTAGTAACCCCTGTTCGAATGAGAACGTCTTAATCAAAGGGTACGTCTCATCGGGTTGTTTCTGTTTGTCCAATACTGGGCACAGATAATGGTAACATATACATATTTTTGCAGCAAACATGAGGTGTGCCACAATTACACACATGTTGGGTAAGGGCGGCAAACCTGCGAATTGAGGGTATTGACTGGAAGTTCTGAGCAGAAATCGAACCTTAGTCAGACGTTTGTGAATGGGATCCGAGTGACTCAGTATCTAAACAGATGCTGTTCATGCGGCATCTATGAATGGTGAATGGATTCGATACTCGATGAAATAAACTGTGCCGAACACGTTTTCCATTGAAAAATCTCGCACACTCGCTTATTATACAACTAGCAGATCCATATAACTTATAGACTATAGTCTAGCATTGTCTAACCTAAGGTGACTCATACACGACATTATCATTTTGCTCATTAAACCAACAATCAGGCATGTAAACAAATAAGTAAACTGCGAATATAAACTCATTTCTCGTGGCGGTCCACATAATAAGATTGCCGTTCGCATTTTAATATGATTTATGCGGAAGGGAAGATACAAGTCATTTGCTCCTTAAGTAGCTAAATGAAAATGAATGGCGAAGGGTTAATGTAGCACCCTAGTTTATGGCTAACATTTTTGATTCCAAAGGTTTATATTCGCTTTAAAAACTTTGTGGACTTAATAATCGTTCTAATCGTTCATCATCCGGCTTAACTTCGATAAGAGGGCGTGATGTCTTTAATATATAGCACGACCAAGCAATTTAAATCATATTCTGTGATTCACACGATTCGTTGTTACGGGATTTATTTCGTATTATTCTATTAGTCTTTGTCCATGACCGGATTAGTCCCCTCCGTTCCCTGAATTAGTAACCTACAACTGTCAGTGAACCTAATCGCTGTTGGGATGGAGGGGTAATGCCTGCGGTTCACTTATCGCCTGGCGTTATCACTTGTAATCCCTTGATAACGATTGAAGGACTGCAAAGGGGTAATCTCTGCCATCCCATATCATCTCATATCTCCACAGATGTCAATTATCTGTTCAATGGTAGCTATATTTCGAGATGTAGTATCTAAACGACGAACAAACAATTTCTCGAATGTAATTGATTTGGCGCCACTTTTTTTTTTGGCAGTTCATCACGCGATTTGTGGCTAATGGCGGACTGGATAAATAAGTTGATGAGTTAAGGGAGCTCCTGCCGTGCAATTAAGTGAGCCGGATTCCTCGCTGGCTAGGAATGAAGCCAGCAATTATCTTTGCAATATAAATACTGGGTATTGATCACGACATTCGCCACATTAATTGTGGGCACTTTTCAACTGACCAGACATGTACATAGCTGGCCCGTGTTTCATGTCAGTTCCTAATAACTAAGTAGTGAAAGAAACCGCTCTCTTTTGTCCGCAATTGTTATATATATTATGCGAATGTGAACCTAATGTTTGGTATTAAAAGTGGATCTTTATTTCCTGAAAAACTGTTGTGGCATAAATTGCAAATGGTTGGGCCTGGGTAATTTTACATACATCAATCCACGTTTATGCAATCCATTCTCGATGGTTCACTGGTAATTGTAAACCATGCTCGGACATTACTTGGCCCAGTTCACACGTAGACTTGACACAATTAATGAGTTCTCAATATATTTTACCCCCATGTTGGGTTGAAATTTGAGAAATCCCATAGGCGACCTCTGGATACTTATGAAGGCCCTGGGGCATTGAATGGAAACTGGAGGAGGGTCTCCTGGGTTTTCCCGAGTCACTGTACGCTTTTCATATGCCTGGAACTTGGATGTAGCTCTCTGTAGTCAGTGAATCACATAATATACTATAAATGGGCTCTTTGCTGGCGGGATGCAATTGAAAGTGAAATTACAGAGCATGACCAACAAAGGCACTCAAATGTGTGGTTCTGCCCCATTAGCGGCGGAAATGTTTTCGTTTTGATTCGTTCACATCCATATTTATCGTGCAGAATAACTGGCAAAAATAATACACACAATAAGTGGGATTGATGAGTGGTGAACAAGTGGCCAGCGTGCGGGTTAGGTTGTAAGAAATAAATACATTTGCAATTTATTGATCAGTTCACACATCAACAGATGGGCAGATATTTATCACTCTTGAACAGATTGCAATATTTCAGAATGAACCAGATAAAATGCTATAGTCTAGTTCCCCGACTGCCAGATACTGTCAGAGACGAGAAATTTCAAGATTTTCTGGAATATCGGTAGAAATTGGGAAAAAATAATAATGTGAAAAAAAGTGCGGGAGTGGCAAAAAGTTTTTTGCAAATCCATAGAAAGTAACAAGATATATAAAAATGTGAAAAAATAACACATTTCTCAAAAGTGTGGGCGTGATAGTTTTGGGCGGTTTGTGGGCCTAGGAGTGGGCGTGGCCACACTTATTTCAAAAATATATTAAAATCCCTTGACACTCCCAGCCCAAGCTGATCCCTAAAAAGACGAATACGTTTCTTCACTTATATTTCGTTGCTGCAACACAAAATATAGTTCATGTTCAGGTGGTTTCTTCTTGCGGTGTGTCTGGTTTTATTTTGTGGAATGCGCTGCTCTAGTGTCCTTGTGTGAAGTCTGTCTGATAGTTTGGGCCGTTGGAGCTACTGTGCGCTGCTCCTCCAGCTTTTTCACATACTAATGGTCTAAAATACGCGCCGGCGCAGCTGTCGAACTCCCTCTGCCACGCCGGTTCTCATGGAGAAGACGAAGGATACGGCGAAGCCCACCAGGCTGAGGAGGAATAGCCAGGGCGTCATCAGCACCACGATGAGGAAGAGCAAGGTGTCATTGCCCTTGGCATTGGCCAGCCGCCATAGCAGCTGGCGCATGGAGCTGCGCAACTGGAATTTGGCGCCTCGCATGCGATAGCGAACGCCACCGCAAAGCCATCCGAAACGCGTGATCTGACGGAAACCCACACCCACCACCAGGGCCAGCAGTTGCAGCAGCACCAAGAGATGCTTGGCGATGGCCGACTGTCCGCAGCGCTTGATCATCACCTCTACGCGTTGACGCCGCTGCTCCGGCAAAGTGTCCATTATGCAGCCGAAGGCACGGCGCCAGCGGGATTCCGGAAATTCTGCGCTCTTCTGCTGACTGCGTAGGTCGCTCTCGGAGTCGGTGTCCGAAAGTGTGACTGGACGCGGTGTATTTTTCTCCTGCCATTGGGTCTGATTCAAGTTTTCCGGTGAAGAGGTGTCCTTTCGCAAGGACATCGAAGACATCGAACGGTCGCCCTCGTAGTGCCCATAGTAACTCGAGATGGGCGGTACTGGGAAGCGTTGGCCACGTCCCACTCCGGCTCCGCTCAAGATGTGCTGGCCCATCGTGGGAAGAGGTGGCGGCAGCGAATCTAGACCAGCCCCATCGACCAACGAGCGCTGGCGGCTAATGGAGCGCATCAGCGGTTTGGTGGACGAATTACCCAGAAACGCCATCCCGTTGAGACCCTCGGCTAACCCAGCGCCGTCGCCGAACTGCGGGGCATTGAAGTTGAAGGCACTGCCTCCGAATCCTCCCGGTCCACCATTGAAGGGCAAACGTTGCTTGTGCATCCTCTCCTGCTACGCTCTTGAATTTTTGGATAATTAGGTTCCTGGCCCCTCGGGGATATTGTTCACCAGTTACTTATTGAGCAGCTTTCAATTTCTGGCTGTGTTGGAAATTTTCTACATTTAGACTGAACTCGCATACAACAAAGCTTAAACGTCTTAAACTCAGAGCAAACTTGAATCCAGCGGGAAAAACTAAGGGTGTTTCCTACCAAACTCATATCATATATCATATATAGTTTGTAGAATCATACAAAGAAAGCCTGATTTAATGAAATACATTCCTCTTTGTTCTTGCAGTTGACTCTGGTTTAATCGCGGCTTGAGTCATCCTTTAGTTGAAAGTGACTGCGATTATCAGTTCAATGTGATTCGCCAGTGAAGCTGCATCACTACGAGAAACTCATTCCAGGACCTGGAAACCACTGCCACAATGTTGCGGATAATCCTAATCGCCGCCTGCCTAGGCCAGCTGGTCCTGGCTCAGGCGGATCTTAAAGATCTCGTTGGACCCAATATCTGCAAAAGAAGAGAAGTGTAAGCTCGTTTCTTATCCCAACAAACTAACTTATTTAATGAGTCATTTTACCTTTAGATATAACGTAGAGGTTGTCTACACGGAACTGCAATCCTACCAGGAACGCGGCTCCACGTGGTGCGTTACATTCCCACCAAGGTGCTCCACATATCGCATTAAGAACCGAGTGGTCAATAAAACCAATACGATTGCGAAGACTCGTATTGTAAGGGACTGTTGTGGTGAGTTGGGAATTACCGGATGTTTGACTTTACTTTACAACATGCCCTTGTTAAACACTTTTAGATGGCTACATCGCAAGCGCAGGAGAATGTGTGCCGCACTGCTCGGAACCCTGCCAGCACGGAAGATGCATCTCCCCGGAGAAGTGCAAGTGCGATCATGGTTACGGAGGACCCGCCTGCGATATAAGTTCGTTCACTCCTTAACCTATTCGTAATTTCTCCCTAAGTGTTGTGTGAATCTATACAATGAATCGCCTTGGGTGTTCCTTGGGTGCGGCTCATCCTACAGTCCGGCGTCTTTATATTTTTAAAGTGCAAGCTTACGATACTCCCGGACTGCCTGGAATGAGCCGAACCCCAGAGATAAAGCTTTATATATCACTTGAGCAGCTTTGAGCTCTGTTATTCTAAATGCCCTTGCAAAGATAACAAATGTACTGTAGGCTTAATTGTTCTGATGCTCGACGGCATATTCCTAAAAGTATTTGCAGACGATTGAAAACGCAACAAAAAGAGATGATTAACAGAAACAGATTATTATATTTTGAAAATGAGTTTACTAAAACCAGCAGAAAATAATCTTTCAATACGACAACACAAATAAACACAATCAAATAAATACTTCTAATACAAAAAAAAAAAAATATATATATATATAGATAATATATAAAAACCATAAAAAGATCTACACCACGCTAACACTCGCATCTGGGAGATTATTAGATTTACATAACAGATTATTATATTTTGAAAATGACCTTACTAAAACCAGAAGAAAATAATCTTTCAATATGACAACACAAATAAACACAATCAAATAAATACTTCTAATACAAACAAAACAAAAACCAAACAAAAAAGATAAAATATAAAAACCATAAAAAGATCTACACCACGCTAACACTCGCATCTGGGACCGTAGGATGGAGGAGGAGGATGACTCTGATTACCTGCCGCTGCCAAACATCAACAGCTTGAGTATACCGAATGATAAGGCCATGCTGGCCGTGTACGAGCTGTACAAGCCGCCCCTCACCGCCAATCGGCATCTACTCTCGGAGCGTAATCGGGAGATCTTCGCAGAGGCGTTTAATGATCCCGACCAAGTGCCCACTTTGGCGGATCTGTGCGTCCGGCAGTTGGCTAAACGTGGAAATACCGACGTGCCCGAGGCCGTGCGCCAGGATCCGCGAAAGATGCGCGTCCACTACGACTCACTCGATGTGGATCTGCCCCTGCGCGAGTGCTACTTTGTGGAGGATGCGAGCTTCTGGAGGCGCGTGGTTCTAGCTAAGAGTTCCGATAATTGCCTTGCACTGAAGGATTTGCAGGATTACAACTGGCGCGGCAGGGGACTGAGCCTGAAGTACGTGGAGCTGGTGGAGGCCTGTCCGGCCGCCCTTTGGCCAGAGAAAGAGATGTCCGAACTGGCCACTCTGATAAGGGATCACGTGTACTCCATGGACATTCGGCACCTGCAGCCGCCTTCGGAGTATGCCTTTCGGAAAGTAGAACGTGAGGATGATGATTTGGAGCCGGATATAACCTCCGAGGAGTCTGGTAGCTTGGAAATTTCCAGCGACGAACCAATGACACCCGAAGACGGCGGGGAGGAGGGGGAGGAAGAAGAGGAGGAGGCGGGTTCCACCGCCTCTGGGCGGAAAAAGTCTATTGGATTTAACACAACATTTAAGATAATCTTTTCCGACGATGAAGATGACTCTGACAACGAGCGTCGCAAACGTCGACAGGAACGGAACGTAGCCCGCCAACGATTGCGGGATCTAAAGGCGGCCAGGGATGCGGAGCACGAGGAGCGCAGGCGACGTCGGTCCGCGATGCGGAAGCCCAAGGAGCCAGAGCCCAAAAAGAAAAAGAAGCGAAGGCAGCGAATAAAAGGCGCCTTCGATATCCGAGTGGAGCCGGAACCGGACGATGGCGATGACAAGGTTTTGGACAAACGCAACAAGCAGAGGTATCTGATGCACCTACAACAAGTAAAATATCAGGAGGAGGAGTGCACCCACATCGATCTTAGCTTTATGCGCTACTTTGTGAACCTGGTATCGTTGAACCTGGAGTTCCTCGGTCCGGCATTGGGTCGGAAGTACCACCAGCGGAACGTGCTCTTTTCGATCAAGGACATGATTCGTCTGGCTAGAGGGCTAGTGGCAATGGAGCAGCTGCAGATCTTCCGGCTTCGAAACAGCCGACTGAGTAACTTTAAGCTATACACAGTGTGCCGTGCGCTGCGCATGTTGCCCTTGCTGGAGGTGGTGGACTTTGGGTACAACCAGATGACTGACGACTGTGGCCCCGAGTTGGGAATTCTGCTGGAGCGGCTTCTAATGCTCAAGTCCCTAGAGCTGGAGTACAATCGACTGGATACGCGGGCCATGGCGTCAATCGGACAGGCACTGCAGCGATCGAACCACTCCAGACTGGAGTATCTGGGATTGGCCCACAACAAGCTGAGCGGGGACTCTCTGTCCATCTTGTGCAACGGCATCAAGGGCACCGAGCATGTGGAGGAGCTCAATGTGTCCGGCATCGAGACGAATCCTCGTATATTTGTGGACCAAATAGGCGATCTTCTGCGTCATCACGGTCCGCTTCGTCGGCTGAAAATGGTGGCCATTCCTTTAGGCTCGAAGCTGGGCAGAAAACTTATATGTGCCCTCGTCGCTAACACCAAGGTTACCTATTTCGACTGTCGCGACTGCGACTTGGATGTGCAAGAAGAGTTCGAGGCCAACGTGGCAGTCAGGCGAAACATCTACGGCGAAACCAGCTTTGTCACCGATACGCAGCGCTTCCCCAGCATTGCCGACCTGTTGGAGTATGCCAAGACACTGAAGCATCCGATGGTACAGAAGGTAGAAAACGACATGGCAATGAAGAAGAAGTGCTTGCCGTACTGTCCGACGCCAACGCCAAGTGTCCAAAGCGTTCGGGTGCAGTCGCTGGTGGCGGAGGAGTCGGAGTACGACATTTGGCAGATGCTTGGCATCACAAAGAAAGTGACCAAGGTAGCATCGCCAGTCGAAGAGCTAGTGAAGAAAGTGAGCTCAGTGTCAGTGGTCAAGGGACCTTTTGTCTACAAACCCAACGAATTCAACATGGAGGAATTCCGAGCCCACGTTTTTCTGCCGGGGACGAGCAACAGGCACTCCTACTTCATGAAGGAAAGGCGAATGGACTACTAATCTTTTCGCGGGCATTTGTAATCTCATCAAAATTGAATGTTTTAGCAATTGAAAAGAAGAAACCAGATTATTAAAATAGTACGAGTAGTTTGAAGCCTCTGCAAGGGCATTCCATCTTTGGACTACCAAAGATCTGCACGTAGTGTCTCTGTAGTTTTATTTCTGCTTTATGTTGCTTCATGGCTTTTGTTGCTTTGCCTTTTAATTTGCCATCTTGACCCCAAATCTAACCCCGACCACCCACACACTACACTCCACTGTCTCACACCCCCATGCAGTTTACTCCGGCTCACTTATCCAGATGCAAGCAGGCTTTCGGTCACTAATTCCTCCACCACCAAAGCGGGAGGATCCGGGAGCAATACTTCGTCCGGCTCCTGGGTTTCTCGTGGCTAGCAAGCAAAAGCAATCAAAATCAGGCAAAACCCGGCAAAAGCAAGAAAAAAGCAACTAACTGTCGAACCCGTACCCTGTGATCCGTACCCGAAGCTAACTGAGTTTGTGTCACTATTCGGTAGATTGCCCACCCGGCTGGTACGGCCGGAACTGCTCGATGCAGTGCGACTGCCTGAACAACGCGGTGTGTGAGCCCTTTTCAGGCGACTGTGAGTGCGCCAAGGGCTACACCGGAGCGCGCTGTGCGGACACCTGTCCGGAGGGCTTCTTCGGGACCAACTGCTCGGAGAAGTGCCGATGCGAGAACGGCGGCAAGTGTCACCACGTGTCCGGCGAATGCCAGTGTGCGCCTGGCTTCACGGGTCCCCTGTAAGTGGACGAAGGAGCCTCTTTGGCGGCGTTAACTTCTGGCGGAGGACCGGGCAAAATGAAACGTAGAATGCAATGCATATTTTCTGTAGCTGCAATTTGAAGCCGTTGCATCCTGCGACTCATTTTACTCCTGCTCCAACGCAAAACCCATACTAATCCTCCGCTTCAACTAGATGCGATATGCGCTGTCCGGACGGGAAACACGGCGCCCAGTGCCAGCAGGATTGTCCCTGCCAGAACGACGGAAAGTGCCAGCCGGAGACCGGGGCTTGTATGTGCAATCCGGGCTGGACGGGCGACGTGTGTGCGAACAAGTGCCCCTTGGGCAGCTACGGCCCGGGATGCCAAGAGAGCTGCGAGTGCTACAAGGGAGCGCCCTGCCACCACATCACCGGACAGTGCGAGTGTCCACCCGGATATCGCGGGGAACGCTGCTTCGACGAGTGTCCGCTGAACACGTACGGATTCAACTGCAGCATGACCTGCGACTGCGCGAACGATGCCGTGTGCAATCGGGCCAACGGAACGTGCATGTGCAATCCTGGCTGGACGGGTGCCAAGTGCGCTGAGCGGATCTGCGAGGCGGACAAGTACGGACTGGACTGTAACCGCACCTGCGAGTGCGACATGGAGCACACGGATCTCTGCCACCCGGATACGGGAAAGTGCCAGTGCAGCATCGGGTGGAGCAGTGCCCAGTGCACAAGACCCTGCACCTTCCTGCGATATGGTCCGAACTGCGAGCTGACCTGCAACTGCAAGAACGGAGCCAAGTGCTCGCCGGTCAATGGGACGTGCCTGTGTGCGCCGGGCTGGCGAGGACCCACCTGCGAGGAGAGCTGTGAGCCCGGCACATTTGGCCAGGACTGCGCCCTGCGCTGCGACTGCCAGAACGGAGCCAAGTGCGAGCCGGAGACGGGCCAGTGCTTGTGCACGGCGGGATGGAAGAACATCAAGTGCGACCGGCCGTGTGATCTGAACCACTTCGGACAGGACTGCGCCAAGGTGTGCGACTGCCACAACAACGCCGCCTGCAATCCGCAGAACGGAAGCTGCACCTGTGCCGCCGGCTGGACGGGGGAGCGGTGCGATCGGAAATGCGAAACCGGCAAATTCGGACACGAGTGCACCCAGAAGTGCCAGTGCGACTTCAACAACAGCCTGGCCTGCGACGCCACCAATGGAAGATGCGTGTGCAAGCAGGATTGGGGAGGTACAGCGGGATTTCTATATACCTCATTGAATCCACCTCATCAAGTTCACATATCACTGACATCATAAACGTGATTAATAAGTTTCTGAAATCTGATAGGAAAGGGTCTGAAATCATAGGATAGCGTTAGGCCCATTCTTTTTTGAATACTTTAGATACAAATTTCAAAATTGTGAAGCTTGCATGATTTGCTAACCATTCTATAGTATGCATCTTCGTAGATTTAGCATTTTTCGTCTTAACCAAAATAATCTGGGATAAACAGTTGATGAAGGCAAACCAGTTTTCAGCCGAATCCTTAAAATTTTGTGATGCAGAAATTGTAGGAGCACGTTAATCAGTACGAGTAACCTAATCATTACTTTCATTTTCGCATCTATTTCGCATGCCCACGTTTCATTTCCCTAATTTAATTTCATTTCTGGTCCTGCACATTTGTGTTCCTGGTTTTTGTTGACCTTGTCTGCTGCCCAACGATCAACCCAAGGCGTTCATTGCGAGACCAACTGTCGGAGCGGTTACTATGGTGAAAATTGTGATAAAGTTTGCAGATGCCTGAACAACTCCTCCTGCGACCCCGATTCCGGTAACTGCATCTGCTCCTCCGGTTGGACTGGTGCCGACTGCGCGGAACCGTGCCCTCCTGGATTCTACGGCATGGAATGCAAGGAACGCTGCCCGGAGATCCTACACGGTAGGTTGTTGTGGATATGATTGGAGGGCCAAAGTAAAACAGCCACTATTCTCTGTTTTTCAGGCAACAAGAGCTGCGATCACATTACAGGTGAAATTCTGTGCCGCACTGGCTACATAGGACTTACCTGTGAGCACCCATGTCCTGCCGGGCTCTACGGACCCGCCTGCAAGCTCAAGTGCAACTGCGAGCACGGCGGCGAGTGCAACCACGTGACCGGCCAGTGCCAGTGCCTGCCAGGCTGGACAGGTGCCAACTGCAACGAGTCCTGCCCCACGGACACGTACGGTCAAGGATGCGCCCAGCGCTGCCGCTGCGTGCACCACAAGGTGTGCCGCAAGGCCGACGGCATGTGCATCTGTGAGACTGGATGGTCGGGTCCCCGGTGTGACGATGTCTGTCCGGAGGGATTCTACGGCGAGCACTGCATGAATGAATGCGTCTGTCCATCGGCCAACTTCCAGTGCCATGCGTCCCACGGCTGTGTGTGCAGGAGTGGCTACACCGGCGATAACTGCGACGAACTAATCGCCTCCCAACGTGTTGCAGAAAGCGAGACGTGTAAGATAAGACATAGATCTTGGTATATTTCCCCCACATTACTCATTCATTATCATTTTGAACAGCAGCAAGCCGGGCGAGTGTGGCGCTGACTATAGTCTTGATGACCTTGTTCGCTTGCATAATCTTCGCAGTCTTCTTTTACTACCGCCGACGGGTGTCCAACCTAAAAACGGAAATCGCCCATGTGCACTACACCCATGATACGAATCCCCCGAGCTGGCCACCCAATCACAACTTCGACAATCCGGTGTACGGCATGCAGGCGGACACGCGTCTACTGCCCAACAATATGCGTTCCAAGATGAACAACTTTGACCAGAGGAGCACGATGAGCACGGAGTACGGCGATGACTCCAATGCCTGTGGCAGGGGTAAGATTTTTGAAGCGCCTTAACCTTAGGGGCAGTGTCTCATAATGTATTGCCTCCACAGTAGGCAGCTACTCGATCAACTACAACCACGACCTGCTAACGAAGAACTTGAATGCGGACCTGACCAATCCGATTGTGTACAATGAATCCCTGAAGGAGGAGCATGTCTACGACGAGATCAAGCACAAGGAGGGCTACAAGGATCCCGGTATGTTATTGACTTTTACATAGTCAGGCTTAGTACTTTCACAACTAACTATGTACTCCACATTTGCACACATTACGGCATGAAACAGTGAAAATTTATAGCAAGATTTTGTTTCCCGACGGTAAGCCAGTGCTAAAAAACCATTCCTTGTAGTGCCCTGTTCGTCCTCACTCATGTCCAGTGTTTTAAGACCTATTGAAGGCTAGCATGATCTAATTGTCTGAATCTTATACACTAGATGAATATGATCACCTGGACTACTCGCGTCCCAGCACATCGCAGAAGCCGCACTACCACCGCATGAACGACGCCATGCTCAACATCAACCAGGACGAGGAGAAGCCCAGCAACGTGAAGAACATGACTGTGCTGCTGAACAAACCGCTGCCGCCCACGGAGCCGGAGCCACAGCACGAGAGCTTCGACAATACGAACACCAACCTGGACAACGTGTCTACGGCGTCGCCCAGTTCCAGTCCGGAATTTCGGAAGTAGGCTGCCGGAACAGTCACTTCACCCGCTGTTTAGCTTTTAAGTCATAATATTTTAATTTGTCTATGTTCGGTAAGAATTTCCCAACTGTTACGTAACTAATTTAGTTTAAATTGTTTCCTGGAACTTCAGTTCGTGATTTTATGTATTTCTGTGTAGCGTAGCATTTGTCTGGCATTCGATATGTAATTGTCTTTTGTATTGTCGCTTAGCAAAGCCATCTTAGCTCAACCAATTGTAAATTATTATTTAGGGGGCGCTTTACAACCCAGCGAAGGACCTCACTTTTGTAAATGACTCTTCATTCGACCTAAATTTTACTAACAATTATGCTCATTCGATATTCATTATGTGCGCGACTAATTCCCTAAGTAAAATCATATTATTATTATATATTATATTATATTATTATAAAATTAAGCACCTCTTCCTGGTAAAATTGTGGAGTGCCTGTGAGGCAAACTCAAAGCGAGGTCGCAAAAATTTTAAGTCGAACCCATGCATATACAGATTGAAATCAATAGCATAAGTAAATGGTATTTATATTTTTAGAGTGCATAAACAATACATTTATAGAGATCACATAAGGCATTCATAGACTATTTTAAATGCCGTAAAATATTTGTAACTAATTGTTATGCAAATTTAAGAATGAAACATTTGGCCAAAATTGTATAAAACTCAAAAGATTTAGATAAAATTTTAAAAAGTAGCTCAAATATTGGAAAATTATGATTGTGTCAACGTTAACCCATTTATATACACATATTCGATCTTGAGAGAAACAAGGATAATAAAGAGGATAATACAGATATGTAAAAATATGCATTTCTACCATTTCTCTACCCATTTTCCCAGGTCAATAGTCACGCAATGGTTTTTAGTTATTTATTGAAATGTCTGTTAATGTTATTTAGTTGAAGCATCAAGTACAGTAATCATATAAATAGTTTCCGTCTGCGCTTTCCTCTTTGATTTCCTTTAAGCAAGTTTCTATTACATAGACTACTCGTAATGCTAGGCTAGATAAATACAAGATCCTGCGAAGGATCCCCACTCACGCACATACACATACACAGATACAAGTATTCAATTACGGACACCGATACGAGTACAGTTTACAACTAGAAGCGTACTAAGGATCGCGATTGGAATAGTGGCCTATGAGTGCTTAAGATGGGTATTAAGTTAATTGATTTAAATGTATAACTTGACTTGTTTTTGGGTGGGAAGGTAGGTTGGGTAGGTTGGTTCCTTTTGGGCATCTTAAAAGGGAGAAGGTGCTCTTTGGACAAATTATGGTGGTTCGGTTCAATTTGTAATGGAAAAAGTCTAAATATTGATAGAAATTGTATAAAGTTAAATTGTTCAACAAATAATCATAAGAAAATCTTAACGGTCAAGATTATCTAGATATAGCAAATACAGGATAGGTAATACGAGTTTACATTAAGCTTCCTAATCCCTTTTATATGACCCAAAACGGCCCATACTGGGCGGTGGAGGTGGAGGTCTACAGGTAGCCATGGCCAGCCACCTCGGCCGGAATGAAGCCCTCGCGTCCGTCCCGCGTCCGCACGTAGAACCACTGGCGCTGATCCTTGGACTCGCGGCACTCGCACAGCGTGACGATCTCGCCCTTGTGCACCGCGATGCTCTCCGTGATGTAGTCCGTATTGATGGCGACTAGAGTTTGCCGCTGGCCCACCTCCTGCTGGCGCCGCAGCGCCTTTAAGGAGGCGTCCGCTTCCGCCTGGTTCTTGGCCGGCTTGTGCTCGTAGGGTGGCAGGGGCACCAGCTTCGGATGCAGATGCTGGCCATTGTGGCCGTTTGTGATGTAGGACACGTTGGAGAGCCGTCTCGCCGCTGGCTGCGACTGGTGCATATGTGCTTGCTGGGCACTCGGCTGCTTCTTGGCGGGCTTCGGCTGAAGGGTCACGTACTCATCCTGAGAAGCGCCGCTCTTGGCCGAAGCCGATCCAGATGCACCCACATGGCGAGTGGAGCGCAACTGGGCGTAGGCCTTCTCCACCAGGCGCGGCTTGGATGCTGCCCTCAGATACAGCTTGTCCACCTGCTGTTCTCCGTACAAGGAGCTGGTTGTGCTCCCACACTTCGTTTGGTTATTGTTGTTGCTGTGGCTGTTGTTGTTGTTGATGGTGGTGGTGCTTATCTTAAGGACATCCTCGGTGGGCTTTGAGTTGCGTGGAGTGCGTGCGCCATCGGATCGGGTGCCGCCACGCAGGCGGATCTCCTTCTCCGAGTCCGTCATGTTGCCACATGGGCGGGGGAAGACATCCGCATTGGACTCCCAGCAGGGGGTGCCTCGGGAGCCCGCTCTCGCCTGCTGGGGCAGAATCCCCAGGGGCAGGCAGCAGGCATAGCCCACATAGCCCTCCTCCGCGTGGGGCGTTTGCACATACAGCCAGTTCTGGTTCTTGAACACCGCATTCACCACCATGCCCAGGGGCAGAGGGATCTCCAGTTGGTAGCCACCTGGTCTCGTTTGGTATAGGGTGCTGGCTGTGGCCAGTACCACGGGAATATTGCCGGGCGTGGCCAGCGAGCAGCGGGAGAGAAATTCGTCCACGTTGTGAATCTCGTAGCCGAATCTCTGCACACGATTGCGATCCCGCCGCTTGCGATGCCTATGTCGCCGCTGCTGCTGTGGGGCAACTGCTCCTCCACTCGATCCCCCCACTCCGCCGCCCTCCGAGGCAGCCACCAAACTTGGCTCCGAGTAGGAGGTGCACTTCACAGACTCCGCGCCCGTGACCGATCCCCTGGCCTCTCCCGCCTGAGAGGCACTGGATCTCGCCTGCTGCAGGCGCGAGGCCAGCTTCTTGCGGATCTCGTTCCGCTTTCTGGCCAGGAGCAGGGCTTCGCTGTGACCATCGCTCCTGGGCCCCCGCTGGGGTGTGCACACGAAGAGCAGCTCTTTGGTGGAGGCGGCGGCCACTGGAGCACTGCTGGGACCGCTCCGTGACACGTCCAGCAGGTTCTGGTTGCTGAAAAACTTCTGGTTGGCCAGGTGGCCGTTGGGCGGAGCCTGGTGGGCGGTGGGCGTGGTGGCATAGCCATTGAGCGGCTCACCACCACTTGGTAGCTGCTTAACCCGGTACCGCTTCTTGGTGACATCCAGCTGAGTGGGCACGGGCTCTGTTCTGGGCGAGAAGATCTCGTTCTCCTTGCGATCCAACACCTGGCTGTCCGACTCCTTTGGCGCCTCCTTCTGCGGGGAAGGGGGCGTCTGCGATGGCGGAGCCTGCTGCGTCTGCTGCTGCTCTCGGAGCACCCAGGTCAATGAGATGCGCGGCCGTCGAAGGCTCAGGTTCTGACCCATCGCCAGCTGCGGAGTGCTCTTCGCTCTGCCGCCGGCGACTAGTGGCAGCAGCTCGTCAATCTCCACATAGTCGGAGCTGTACTCGAAGCTCTCCTCCTGGTCCCGCTGGCCAGGTGCTCGCACCGGGGGCGGGGGCGGGGGCGTGGCCGTGAAGTTACCCACGGAACTGTCGCTGCTGCCGGGCTGCTGGAGGATCAGGGAGCACGCGTTCAGGAGATCCGGGCAATAGGCATCTGCAAGTGGAAATGGTATTCGTTATGAAATGGTTTATGGTAGGGATTAGGATTTACTTGCCCCTTAATCCCCGCCTGCGTCGACGCTGCCTTCGGGTGGCACTGCCGCTCCCCAACTCCGAGCAACTGGATCCGGAGCTACTGGAGCTATCTGTGCTGGAGGCGAATCGCAGCTGCTGCTGCTGAAGCTCCCGGAGTCGCCGTCTCCTCCTGGCTTGTTGACGTGCTGCAAGTTCGCTGGCTGCTGTAGCTGCTGCCGGTGGCGGAACTACTACAACACGTGCTGGGGCAGGTGGATGCACGGCATCAGCCAAGTGGGATCTGTGTTCCTGGACTGATCTTGGTCTCTCCGTGTAGCTGGGCGGCGGGGTCAAAGGATGAGGAGTGTAATTGGGCGGCGGGGCGAGTGGCACTCGCAGGGCGGACTCCTCAAGCACGTAGTCGTTCTCCTGGGCCTGCAGCTCTATAGTCCCAGCTTCCTGGTAGCCCAGAGGCAGTCCAACCGCAGGTGGGGCAGTGGTGATAGACACGTTGTCGCCATTCTGACGATAGGTGGGTGAGGTTGTGGTAGCTGTGGATGTCGGAAACCAAGTGAGTTTGGTAAGTTATGGGAATTCAAATTCGTAATTAAAATGAAACATCATTCGCTCGCTATAAAGACCAAACTATCGACCAAATCCCACTCCAAGGAATCTGCGGATTCCTTCTGTGGTTCTGCGTCTGTCCAAGATCTCCCCACTCCATCGGCTGGTCGTAAAGACCATTGAGACGCGATAACAACACCTGAAGCCCTGGCCAGGAGGAACGCGACTCCCACGCGGGGAGCAGGGAATATTTAAAATATCTGGCAATATAAATGTCAGGAGTAGGTTGGAGTGGGAAGATCGGCGGATTGGGGAATGGGGCATGGGGCATGGGGCATTCCCGCCTTCATATGCGGCTATCAAGGCCAAGATCAGTGAGCTGAGCTCCAAGTGGCCGAGGCGAAGGCGAAGGCGAAGGCGAAGATGAGGATGAGCATGAGCATGAGATGGAGGAGTGGAGCTACGCAGGCGGGAAGCGTGGCCAATAAAATTCCAAACTGATATGCTCAATGGCAACAACGTGCCACAAGTGAGTAGTAAAATGTTGAAACGTGACGCTATTTCAAAAATACCAAATTTCCCCTCTCCTTCGATTAGCACATTTGCACAACGTTCAATGAAAGGAGAAAATGGAGTTCGCTGTGTACTCCGGTACACTCTTACCAATCTGGCGAATAATGACAAATTGAAACATGGCCGTCTGGAATGCATCTATTTATGGCTGGTGAATCGGATGAAAATGAGGAATGCGTGTTAAATCCATTTTGAATTAATGTAACACTCAAGATTATGGCTATGGCAATGAATGGCGACTAAAGACTTAAAGTGGTTTAAGTGCCGCAACAAGACGCCTTGGAAACGGAGTAATCCCGGCCTGGCTGGCAGGGTACTCCAGATCATAACTAAGCCCTGATGAAGAGCAGAAAGGACAAGGCCCAGAGCTCTGAGCCAAGAGCCAAGATCCCAGACCCGCAGATCTGCGGGCCTAGCGGCAGCGATGCGACTTTAACGACCTTAGCGAGGCGATTCCTAGTGGGTAGCGGGGCAGATCTCCTCCGTCAGTCAGGCGGCGGTTCCGTTGCCCCGGCCCTAATCAAAAAGGTTCAAGCGCAGAGATCGTGCGAGGATTACATGGGGGTGTGACGACAGGCCGGCTCAAAGTCATTCACTCAGCTCGGCTCCAGCTGGATGGCCCAGCTCCAACTCGATCGTGATGCTGTGGCCTTTAATGGCCTCTACGTGAGACGTGATCTCCACCAGGCACACTCGGAAAAATGCATGCACTCTTAACAGATTGCACAAGATTTTGCCCCAGATGCAGGCATCCAAAGATTTCCAGCTATAGAAAACTATTGAAAACCCCAGGCGGGAGGGCAACCACTTCATTTGATAAAACCGCCCTTCTTAGTCCGCATTTCAGCTCAAGTTTGGGCCCATATTTATGTGAAGTGCATTTGGATCGGGGAGCATGACGGGGCATGACAGGGTCGGATTGGGGGCGTGGTCGATCACGGGGCAGCTCCGGGGAACGAAAATCGAAAGTGTTGCTCCGGGTCGAACTCTGCGGCGGCCCTCTAATTAAACGCAAACGGCTGCCAAATTAGCGAGTGACCACATTGCGCCGGAAAAGCAATTGCAAATGCAATTGCAACTGCATCAGCAGCAGTGGCAGCAGCAGCAGCAGCAGCAGCAGCAACACTTGCAACTGCAGCACCAGCAACATCGACGCATTGCACAAATCACATGGCCAAAGCGGCAACGCCTGCCCAAAAATGGGAAACACTCTGACAAATTTGTTTTGCAACTTGTTGGCCCGCCTGCTGCAAATATGGTGCCCGCTCCATCCGAGCGAGAGTCCGACATGAACATGGCCACTGGGGCATTGTGGTCGTGGTCAACGGACCGGGCTCCACCTTCCACCTGCCCTGCTTCCCTGCTTCACTGCCTTCCAGTCGCCAGTCAAAGAAACCGCACAGCTGTCAGTCTCTTGATGCATCACAAGCTGGGGTCTCCAGACTCCAGACTCCAGTGACCAGTGTCGAGTGTCCCGTCCCCGGACACTGGCAGCCGGGCTCTGGTTCTAGTGATAATAATTCAATCGAGAAATGTCGAAGCGTGCAAATAGCCCGATTGATTTGTGTCTGGCCCGCGGGCTTAGAAGGCGCTTGGAATGGATTGGTTTTGCATGTGATTCACTGCCAGGCTCGGAGGACCAAATGGGAAGTTACTGGGCCTGCCCAGAGCCCAAGGAAAGGTCAGAAGTCAGGCTTGCCAGAGATTAGGCGTCATAGAAATGCTAGAAATTTGACCAGCAAGCTTCGCCTGCTGACTTTCATATTTAATTGTAGCCAGTCCCCTGGAACCCAATGAGCCCGGAATAGGATTATTGGTACGATTCCTCGCAAGATATTTAAGCCGTGGGAATTGAGTTCAGCTACAAGTCAGCGGTCAGGTTAATCGCCTTAATGGATTAGAAGAACCCTGGAAATTTTTCAATCAGGCCTAAGCTCCAGGCCAGAGCAGCTCCTCCTGCCCCATTCCGCGTGGAACGGCATGGGATGGATGCCCCATAGATACAGATGCTGCACAATCGATAACTGTTGTGGTCGGCGTTTCGCGCACGTCCCTCGCATATATCTTAAAATGGCAGCCGCAGATAAGAGGCACTAATAAGATAAAAACATTTTAATTGCCACTAAACATGGCAGCGCCTCGGACGGACCACTCTCTCCCCGATCCCCGATCCGCGATCCGCGATCTCCGATCTGAGCCCAATCCCCGCCAGATTGCTGCGGGCCAGCTGAACCAACTGTAAAACGGCCACTGCAATATACTTACTGCCCGGCAAAAAACGTTGTCGCCGCTAATGGGTTAACAAAACGCCAGGCAGACATATAAATAAACTCCCATTTCGTGGGATTTAATTAAGGCCGAGTTTCGATCCGCTTCCAGCTTTATCTTGCGGCTCTCGGCTCTCGGCCGAGGTGCCAAAACAAATTAAACCGCTTCCTGAGGGATCGTCAACTCTTTAACGACCCGCCCCCAGCCGCATTCCATCCCCAGTCCAGGGTCATCAATGTGACCACCTACTGCTCCACGGTGACCATAAAATCCGGACAAGGCCCGCCTGATTGTCAGATTGCCAGATTGGTTTTTAATAAATACTTAAAGACACTGGGAACCCTCCTCTAAAGTGTATCTAAGATGTTTCAATGTGGGCTAGAGCTTGGTTACTATTTATTTAGCTGGACTACTCCCAGTAAACTTTCGCTTGCCCACACTTATAGCTTCTATAGACAGCCAGCTGGTTTCCTGCGATGTCAGATCCTCGATGACAGGCCATGGATACCTGGATGCCTGGATGGGGTGGAGGTGGGCGACCAGGTGCCAACATGCCAGCCACTGCACGGCCATCAAGTGGCTAATTTATGGGGCAAATAATTTACACAAACTTCAGTTTTTAGCTTTTCAATTAGCCGGGATCATGTTCATGTGGCTGCAGCGATGCGATGCTGGCGATACTACTTAAGCCCGGTTTTATGGCATTTTGATGGGCTCTTGGCTGTTGGGTGGTCGGCCTGGCCAAGATTTGAATAGGTGCGATTCCCAAACGCGATCAAAAGTGAATTAAAGTCTTTTATCGAAGAGGTTGCGCCGGGAAGCCCTTTTCTCGAGCTGGAAGGGATTGCCAGTGGAGTGGAGTGGAGTGGAGTGGTTGGGGGATGCGGCTGTTGGCCAGGGCAATAAAATTAAACGTTTGTTGGCTTTGGGTTTTCGGTTTTCGTGCGTGTTTTAAGCGGTTTTAAATATTTATGAGCCCATTTGTAGCCACGCTGGCTGAGGCCGCAAAAATATCATTTTATGGCCTTAATAAATTTAAATGTTGTGTCCGGGCTGTTGCACACGAAATGTCTGGGGAAATGAAAGTGTGATGTGGCAGGTGAAAGGAATCTGGAGTTGGCTAGGCGAAGGCGTTTTGGAGGTATGATTTCGAGCGATTTATTCGATTGCAAAGTTATTGGTACAATTATGCAGAACGTATATTGTTCCTATGTCTTTTGCATAAATTCGAATTTAATGTGGTTTGCCCATCGCTTTTGGCTTTAACTCGCCCATTGCTATACAAAAATATATATTTTAAAAGCAAGCAAGGCAAATATCATTTTTATTGTTATTCCTCGGCTGCTGTGCTTGACCAACTCTTATCTCAGCCCACTTTCTTCTGGCCAGACCACAAATTCAAATAGGAGCAGCACCAAGCAAGATGTCCTTGTAGTCCTGCCAAACCCGCATGTCCAAGGACAGTCGAACAATCCCGGCAAGTGCGTTTTTATTACCAACGTGGAGTACTTTCCATATGGCCAAGAGGTTGTTTGGGCACAGAGAGAAAAACCCGAGGTAGCTACATTAATTAATGCTACAATATTTATCTAGGAGAACTATCCTATTGGTAGGATCTATAATATATTGAAAACTATTTGGACCAACACTTCGGGTATAAATCAAATAAATTTCAAAAATTCGCAGTGCTGAATTTTTTCCACTTTTGCTGGCCCGTCGAAGCCGAAATCAAGTTAGCAGAAGACAAATGGGTCCTGGATAGCACAGATGAAGGTCCTGGTGCCAGTTCCAGTGCCAAGCGTCACGATAAGCGTCAAAGGACTTGGCCATAAAAAGCCATGAGCTCGTCGGGCTGCTGGAAATTGGGGGTGGCTGGGGGTGCTCTCGGCCAAAAAAGGGGAAGATCAAAGCGAAAAAAGCAATAAGTCCTGCGGGCGGAATGTAAATTGAAATACAGGAAGGAGGGCGGGGTGGCACTCCCCCTCGTTTCGCCAGTCATCTAGAACTTTGAACCCGAAAGTGAAACCCAAGTGGAACCGAATCCGGAGTCGAAATCCGGATTCCGGATTCCGGACCTAGCCCAACCAGGCCGGAAAGGGAAGCACGCGGCACGCACTTTGATTTGCTGGCCGAGATGTGGCTGCCTGCTGATGAACTCCGGGTGGATGGGGCAAATGGAGAGCTCCTGGAGCAGCTGGCGCAAGTGCACTTGGGCCGCTCCGGCAAATATGTCTTCGAGTGCCATCATCCACTACAGTAAATCCTTCAATTGCAGTCGCTGGAACCGAGCGAGGAGCCCCTTTCGGAGCCGGGTCCTTTGTCTTCCTTTGAAATGCCGCGTGCTTTATTAAAATTTCCATCTATGGCCAGGAGCGGGCAGGGATGGGAGTGGTAGTGGGTCCCTTTGGGGACATTGTTATAAATTCCTTTGCTGAAAAATGTGAAAAATGCGCCATGTAAATTATTTCTGCGCCATTTTTTGGCGCTCCTCCTTTGCTTTTATTGTGCATGATAAATTTTTATTGTAATTGGCTGTTGATTTATGGGCCATGGCCAACGTAGACTCCGGGGAGCCATGCTCCTCCTCGGCCTGATAACAAGTGCCAGATAAACGATTCCCTTTCAATTTGCCATTAATTAGGCGGGTCAGCGGGTGCAGCTCCTCCTGCCTCCGACTGGCCGGGGCATAAAAACTAATCGCGGCATTACAGAAATCATCTATGAAATTGGGCCCGCTGATGCGTAACCTGGGCCTCGCCCACCCGAGCAGGAAGTGCAGGCTGTGGCAGGCCCAAGTCCACATCCACATCGACATCCAGTTCCAGAGGCAAATCACTGGCAAATCACAGGCAGGAATCCCAGAGCCAAGGCCCCATTGTTTGTTAGATGCTCCGCAGTCAAACACCATAAAACTTTATGAATCCAGCGACGTGGAGGCCAACAGCCAGAAAGGCTTTCCAGCTCCTGCCCAGAAGTGGCAGATTTTTTAATGCCTTGCGAAAGATTTCATGGTTACTTCGCCGGGTTATAACAATTTACAAATTATGTAATCGAAATTTATTGCCCAGCATAGCATAGCTTCTCCTCGAGGCCATTCCTGGCAGCTCCTCCATTCTCGATCCTCCCTCCACTGGGTGGGCCCACTGCGCCTGGCATTTTGGACACGCACAGGTGGCCCTGATGGCCGCCGTTTGATGTGCGCCACGTTTGACTCCCGGCCAGAAAGGCGGCCAACGAGGACTCCACTCAACGAGCTTGGTTCCAGATTAGCGGCACCTCAGTTCGCCATGGAGCGTAATAGCACATTGTGCATATCTCAGCTTCTGATAGCAGAAACCCAATGGCTAGGGATTCTCTTCGCGCTGAAAAGCATCTTGCCAAGTTAGTAAATATGGTACTATTGCTTGCACGGATTTATAGACTTGGATAGACTGCAAAGAGTGCCACTTTATCCCTAAAACCATGTGAAACGTTCCTCCCACCAAAGACGGTTCAAATTGAGTTACACTAATTCCCCACTCGAATCCTTTCCACCTGGGAGACAGTGGCTTAGCAAGTTGCCCGCAGATGAATGGCAATTTGTTCGGATTAAGCCGGATTGCCGCCCACTCCGATTCCGGCTGCTCCTGCGCCTCGTTGTCCGGCGCATGGATCCGTGACCCATTAGTTACGGCACTTTCCAAACAAACTCCAATAATGCAGCCATTAAATGCCAACTATTCTGCCATCAAGTGCTTTAGTTTGACATAAATCTCCGGCGGATGGCGAAACTTTTGCCGCTTTTTCCAGCCACAAATCCGAGCGCACCGCCCTCCAACCAGCCGCCCATACCACCCATACCACCCATCCCACCCACTGAGCCCCAGAATCCGGCAATCCACTCGGATCAGTGGGCATATGTCCGGCGAGGGCTTATGTTGCAGCTTTAATTAACGCCAGGTTTCGGGCTGCCCCTCCGCCGTGCCCGCTTGGCCAACAGGTGCGGATAGTTTGGATCACCACCCTTGTTCTGGGCCGCCCCCCTTCAACAACCTGCTGCACTGAGCAAAAAAACCAGGATCTCTCTCATTTTCAATTTATACTTATATTTACTTAGTAGTGGTCTTGCATGGATTGGCATGTATTTATACAGCTACATTCAAGGATACTTTGAGAACCATCCTAGCGAGTGACCCAGTAATTTCCCGCTGTGTACCTACTGCGACGCCCCCGCCCGAGTGCTTTTATTTAATTTAGAGTCGCGTATTGCCGGCCAGGACTTTCATGTTGTAATTTCCTCAAATTTACGAGTTTGCTTAGCCCGGATACGGGTTGGGCTAGTGCAGGGGATTCGTGTGCCGGAGTGGGCGGGCGGCTTGTATTTGGATTTTTGGATTTTTTGGGCCCACAGAGCGGGAGCGGCAGGATTTACGACTCGGCTTGGTTGGGTTAGTTTCAGTGCCTTTCGGGTTTTCCAGGGTTTTCCGGGGTTTTCCGCTGCGGCTTGTTAGCGCCTCGACTCTCATTTTATTAGCAGCATCCGGCAGGACGAGCAGAAGCTGCCTTGTTATCCTTCCCAGCCAGATTGCTGTAAATGAGCAACTTTTTGCCCCCAAACCCGGCAAACTGTGTGTGCGGGTGTGGCTTTCTGGTAATTTCGCATGCAGTTTATGGCTAGGCATAACAGCCAAGGCAACAACAACCGAAGCTGGGACCTGGCTCCTGCAGCTGTTAGAAGCCCCATGCATCACGCCCACACCCCCCGCAAACAACACCCCCGCGCCCCTCACACACGCAGGTTGATGACGCCGCTTATAAAAGTTGATCAAAATTATTACCACGCCGGCAAACATTTCGGCGGAGCTGCGGAAATTGGGGATCCAGTGGGAGCACTCAAAATACCCTTCGCTATATATTTTACTTTCTAAAGCATATTTTTAATTGTATCACATCTTTGATAGTGCAGGCAAACACACTTAAATAAATTCCCTGCTTATGATAGATTTTCGCAAGTGCAGAAGTGCCGCGCATACCCTGTAAGCACTCGGAAAGGTAAAGAGGTGAAGGAGCATCTTGTGCCCCCCACCCCAAGCTCGTGGAGCGACCCTCTTTCGGGACAATTAGAGTGGGCCATTGCCATAAAGTTATGGGATTCATGGCGCACGTTTTGCACAACGCATTTCGGAGTTTACTTATTACTGCAGTTTATCTGCCCGACGGACGAACTTTGGCCACGTTTCATTAGCCATATGCTGGGTGGGCGGGCAACTCTTGCCTCCACTTGGCTCCTCTGGACTTTCATTCTGCTGCGTAAGTGTGCTCCGGTTTTTTACGAGTGCACATCCTGTGCGCGATATTAAATCCATTTAATGAGGCGGCGGCATGTGAATTCCATATATCTACTACACTATGCTCGTAGTTACTGAGGCGGAGCATTGGGCGAAATTGGCAAAATTAATTATTTGGCAATTAATTGGCAAAGGTCGTAAAATGGTAATCATTTTACGGTCCTCGCTGCGTAGCGTAAATACAATTTTAATTGCTCTAATCTGGCGACTTACTGTGCATATGAGGCTGTGGAACCGAAAGTGCAAGGCACAAAACTAAAATTAAACCCATATCAAGTAAATACTTGAATCAAGAGGTACCCACGAAACGGGCGGTGAAAGAGAAAGCCTTTCTCGTCTACCACATCGACGCGTTACGCATACGCCCCGTAAACTAGGTGAGCCATTGTCCAAGTTACGTATGCAAATGCAACCGATCGGCGGCAAATGCTAATGAAATGCATATTTAATACGCAGCGAATCCGATACTGGACCCTGGCCACCTCTCGCATGCTCCTCGGGCAATTAAAGTAATAATGCTAAGTGGAAAGCACGCGCGAATCTATGTCTTTTCCGCATTTCGCGGTGTTGCATAAAATGTTGAACAAAGCGCGGAATGCTCGCCACATTATATTGATGGGATCGGAACGGAACGGATTGGATTGGCTTGGATTGTGTTGGATTAAAAAGTGAGTATGTGAGATTCCATGAATGGCTCCCAGAGCCAGTCACCAAAACGCCGCTTCCGATTCAGCGATTCCCCGATTCAAGGAGCTCCCAGAGATGCAGAGATGCTGAGGCGAAAATTGTTTTGTTGGCGCAAAATACTCGAAACGCTCCGCCGAGCAGCGACCGCGCCCAGGCCTAGGCGCACACTGCGAGAAAATACTCACTTATCTGATGTGCACCAAAATATAAAACTTGGAAAGAAACTGCTCTGAAGACATTGCTTGTGGGAAACACACTAAGATACTTAGATAAATTATATTTCTGATTTCAGCCCTTGTGCCTTGTTTCGCTCAGTGTGCCGGCAAGCAACAAGCTGTAAGCAATAATTAGGCACACGTAACTTGGACGCCACTGTGCTGCGGCGCTGCACATGCAAATGTTGCGGCTCCGTGGAGGCTGCAATGCAATCCGCCGCCGCCGAAGATAATGAGGGACAGGTGGATGGCAGGGGAGCCCATAAGTACGCCACATGCGGCCATGGTGCACTGAACCTGATTACCGCATCCGTATAAAAGCCCCATCGATTCCAGCCGGCCCACACAGTGCTGAAAGCGAACGCGCTCCACTCGGCGGTTGCAGTGGACAACTAAAGGATTAATTAAGGACTTGCTTAATCAGCAGCCGCATCGCCAAACGCAGCTGCAAAATGGGCAAAGTGAGTCAAGTTAAGCTGACATAAAATACGCAAAAATATATAAATCAGTAAAAGTCCACTTGAACTCCAAGCCAACTCATTGAAAACAGTTGTGTTCAATATAAATTCAAGCAGTGTAAAAGCTTTAAATAGAAATTTAAAATATTTAAGTAAATCAAATTGAATTTAAGTTTAATTTGCATTCGCACCAAGTGTTCATTCAAATGCATGCAAATGGTCAGCAAACAGAATGTTCTTGTTAATTTGACCAAATGGATTTCAGTTTTGGAAATGGCACTTAGTTCTTGCATGATAACATTTCGATTATAATTCAGTTTCGAATAGTATTCAGCTTAAAAGCTCTCGCTTTTGATTTACCCACATCAAGGTGTCATCTGGGAGCGCCTCCTTGGTGGCCAAGGCGCTGGCCATAATGCTCCTGCTGGTGGCGACGGGAGTGCAGGCACGGCGGCTGGGCCACCGACGCCTCATCATCCACGTGCCGGTCAAGGTGAAGACGCACCACCACACCCACACCGTGTACAAGGTGCTCCACGGATCACATGGCGGCGGCGGTGGAGGAGGAGGTGGAGGTGTGAAGCAAACAGTGTACAAAGTGCTGGGCTTCTCCACACACGGAGGTGGCGCTGCCAAGGGTGGCGGAGGAGGAGGCGCTGGCCATGGAGGCCATGGGAGCTACGACATGGGCGGAATGGGCCACGGCGAAATCACGTACGAGGACATGCACGGATGCGAGAGTGGCAAGGTGATTCCGGCGGCCAGAGACATGATTTTCAATCACTACTCGCGGCACGGCCAGAGCGATGGAACTGGCGAGGATTACGCCGAGGAGCTGGACGACTTTGTAGACCTAAGGGATGGCTGGTTGTGAATAAAGAGACGTGTGCGCAATTCCCCGCCGATTAATTATAAAATTCCTGGCGGCGGCGATCCCCCCGCTCCACTCGCACTACGGATGCGCTGACGGAGCTCCAGACTCAGCACCACCGAAATTCCAATCCCCGGAATCTGTGTCTTTGTCTTTGGCTGCCGATTCGCATTTGTATTGTTTAATTAGGAATCGGGGGCTGGCTGGGATTGGGTGGGGTTCGGGGGCTTCTGGCCTCCTGCCATCGCGCACTTGAGCAAAACTCGAAGTATTTGCATAGCTCTCGACTGGGGCATGCGGCATATTTTAGTGGACAATTAAAGGAGCCGAGTGTCAGTGGCTGCAGGCAGTGAATGGGAGACTTGCAGAGCTGCAAGCGATGTGAGGAGCGGTCTTGCTGCTTAAATAGTTCCCGGGAAAGTCAAATACTTAATTGGTCTCGCAAACTTAATTGGCACTTGATAATATAATAAAAGTCTGCGATGGCAAATGGAAATTCTGGGACCAAGAAACCAAACCGTATATTGGCCATATTTTGCAAGAAAATGCTCCGATTATCGAATGTAATGCCTTTTTGAACTCGTATTGACCCAACAAATCGATCGGCATTCCAAGCTGAACTTTTTTTTTTTGGTCGATTTTTTCAAAAAATTGATGATGTAACCTCTTACCAAAAAGTGAAAAATTGCTAAAAATTCGATTTTTGTATATCTGCAAAAAAGTTATGCGCATGGTTAGTAGGGATCACTAGCTGCAAGAAACAGTAACCATCTCATCCGTGTGACTCTTTTTGGCCAAGTTACGAGGAAGAAGCCTATTGAGTGGCACTTAAAATCGATAGGTTACCATATGAGATCACTATAGACCAGAAACGCTTAATCCACTTGGGAATGGGTTTCTAATCCGCCTTGCAAACACCCATTGATCAATCTTGCCAATCGCTGCCAGCCAAGCCATCCGAACTGGAGCACCAGATTGGCATCGGCTGGCCGGCACTTGACATAAGGCAGATTGATCGCCGGCCGCCCGGCCAGCAGATGGCTCCAATGCGGATGCCCCACTTCCCCCAAGGAAGGCAGGTAAGCACAGGTGCCGCCGTTCCTGAGCGCAGAATAATTTGCGTGTAATTGAAGGCGACAGCGCGTCACGGGTCGGGATGATAAATGCGTCTGGTCGCTCCAGGAGGAAAACCCGATCCGCGGAGGATCCCAGCCCATAAAGACACGCGACGGGTGGTCGTTGGTGGCGGTGGCGGTGGTGGCCAATGCTCAGTGGTCGCACTTTCGGCTGGCGCCAAGCGGTCAGCCCAACTGGATGGGGGCCATTTAAAGGCATTTAGCTGGTAATGACATTTAAGAGCGGTGGCATAAATCGCGCCACAACATTGTTGCAGTGAAACGAATTAAGCCCGCGCACGCACCACCTCCTCCAGATGAAGTTGTTGGGCCCGCAGCACATCCAATCCATCGGACACGTGGTAAAGGCTCGGACTCAACGGGGCGGATTAGACACGCGGCGAAAATCTTGGTGCATTGAATCCTGATTTATGGAACACCCATCAGTTATCAGTTAAGTGAATAGCTGCATTGTAGGCAAAGGTTGATTATCTAACGCATTATAAATTATTGTAAATTTGTCTCAGATTCCTGTTCAAAGTTTTCCCAGAAGAGTGGCTTTGGATGGCAGACAATTTGCGAGACTGGAGCTGTTCAATGCCGAAATCCTTTTTGCTCTGTGTGAGTCGCTGAGCTGCTTATGTCCACTGATGACGAGCTGAGTCCGCAGGGATTTGTCCATCAGTGGCTGGGCTTTGGCCAATTCAAGTCTCCTGGCTTTATTGGATACGTTAAGCCTGTGCACATATTTGCATCCTGGCTGGGAGAATGGCTGGCGGCAACAAAGCGTAAAACGATTTGGCCAAAACCAAACAGGCAGTGGAAGTAGGAGCAGTCCGGGCCTTGGAATGCGATGGGATGGGCTGGGCTGGGTATTGGAGTTACCTTTACAATATTTGGCTGCTCCGGCAAATGCCTCCCAATGCTAAATACATTTTGTGTCGCTAGCCGGCATGTGATTTGCTTTTCACTCACCAGCCTGCGGTCTAAATAAATGTATTGATTTTGGCAAATGGCTTTTGCATGGCCGGGAAAAGCTGCAGTCCACATTTGAGGATGTGTGGCACAATCCCATATGGCAGCCAAAAAAAGGATGATGCTTTTTTATACAATCTGACATAGATAAATAAAATAACTGCGAAATCATATTAGTATTTCATGAAATTGTGATTGGTTGAACCTTTTTTACACACTTTTTTAGCACTGCGGCATAAACACCACTTCCATCTGCCATCAGTTCATCTACTATCTCCCCTTAATATCACTGCTAAACCGATTTAAGCTCTTTTCAATCAGCAACATTTAAATTTGCAAAGTCCGCCAATCGTCGAACTTTTCCCTGTGTGTTCATTTCGTAATTGAGGCAATCCTTGCGGCGTCCTTTTTCCACTTTCACCCTTTCTGCGCCCTGTTTACCCATCGTCTAGCCTTTGATTTTTCATTTTTTCAGCCACAATTTGGGGCCATTTTGCTGTTTGCTTAATTGGTTTCATTAGGGAAATATTCGGCTTTCCATCGGGCCTTGAATTCAGCAGCACCCGGCCACTTACCGTCCTTCCTTCTCGGCGAGCGGAGGATGCCAAAGAAACGACGCTCCTGAATCGCACCTGAAACGACGGAGCGAAGGGTAAAAGTTAGAAAAAAGTTGGTCCAAAGTACAAACTTTAAGGTGGAAAAGTTTTGGCCAGGTGGGAAAAGGACCAGGATCCAGTTACACGTGTCGCAGCAGCAAAAGCAGCCGGCCAGGCGGCATAATTTCCACAGAGTGACAACTAAATAAATAGAAGAGACTGCCACCGGAGCAGAAGTTGGGGCCAAGATGGCAAAGTTTCAGCTCGGCGGCAAGGATGCGGGCAGCCACTTCGTCTGAGGCACTAATTTTAACACCATTAATTTGCGAGCATGGACAAGCAGCCAGGAGCTCACGCCACAGAGCTGGAACAGAGAATTTTAAATGAAATGGACACAAGTTTTATTGAATTGACTGGCAGCGGCACCAGGAGAGGAGTGGCAGCGACAGGAGCCAGGAGCTGCTGCCACGAAGGCCCCGCCGGAACCGGAAACGCATTACTCTGCTCCTTGGAGCGATGCTCCTGCTCCGGCACACGATTACACGCAAGCTTAGGGAGGCCAAATGGGTGAAACACAGAGGGAAATGTAGTAAAACACGCCAATTTGTATGCGAAATACATAAACCACATCAGATGGCAGGCTTATGGAAATGAAAAAGGCTTACGATTTTACCTATTCCATTTCGATGGCCCTGTGCTCTCACGATCTCCCAATTTCTGGCAGTGTAACCCTGGCACCAATCAAAAAGAAGCGCCAGCCAACCAGAAGTAGAAGTTGTGGCAAAGTTTTTGATTTCATGATATATTTATGGGCACCCGCTGCTTCTTGGGGCCCATCCAATTCCTTTGAGTAATAAACTCGGGCCCCAAAAGGCCGCTGCCAAGGAAGCGGCTTACAACTTTAACCAGAAGTTATTAATTTGTTTTATTTTCAGTCCTGCATACACGGTTTAAACTGGCTGCTGACCCAATATGGGATAATAAGTGTAGGAGGCTGGCAATCGCTGGCATTTATTCGAGTGCGGATTAGTGTATTGCGGATATTTTATCTGCAATTTACGCACCCAAGTGAGCCGATAAGCCGGCACTTGTGTGCCGCAAAGGACTCGCAGGACATGGCCCACTATCGAAATGGCCAGGCTTGTGTAGTGGAAAAAATCGACTCGGCATGGATTCAATTAAATATTAAATAAACGATATCAGCAAACAGCAATTTCCCGCCATCCCCAAGCCCGCAGACATTTCTGAATCCTCGGGCATTGGAGAGAAGTGCAAACACAATTGCAGATGCCCGGGAAAACTTTATGAGCCAGCGTAATCCTGGCAATTATGTGCTGCCATCCCTGTCGCCCATTATCTGCTCTCTCGCTCTCCTTGTGCGAGGACCTGGACAGGAGCAAGCATCATCTCCATATTGCCTGAAAGTATGAAATGAACCAATCAACTACACAGGCTGCACTGAAAGAAACGTGCGCACGTGGAGGTAAATCTCATGTTCTGAGTATCTTAGGTATCTAAAGGCAGGCAGTGGTTGTTGAATCCTTAGGAGCACTCCCCCAACAAATTCATTTAGCTCGCTTTTGGTTCGAGTGCATCATAAGGGGTCGAAAAGGAACGTGTTGCTGCATGGACATTAAACTCGGATGAGCAATGATTTGAACAGGTGCTGCAGTGGCATCAGCAAAAGAAGCCAGGAGTAGAAGGCGGATGAGTGGGCGGTGGTGGATGAGTGGGCGGTGGATTGGGGAGCTGGGCAAAAAGACTAATTATGTATTCATTAAAATGGCAAACGGCAGCAGGCTGCATGTGCCCGGGCACGAGTGTCTGTGCGGAGCAGCTGCATCCTGGGCAGGATTCGCCTCCACAGCGGGTGAAAGTACTGCAGCCGAAGGGCTGACGAAAGGTGAGCAGTCATGAATGCATTTCGCTGGAAAATATTCAGCATAATGGCCTTCGGTTCTGTGTGTGCTGCGGAGTTTGAATATATCCATCCCGGCTTGATAACCTAATGTGGAATGACGAATGTGGGAGCCCTTCCTCTTCCGTCTCCTCGGCGGGAAAGTCGGGTAATGATTCCTAAATACACACATTTATCATGTTTGCACGAGTTTCTTTGAATTGAGTTGGGAAGGTCTGTTAATGTGGGGGAGTAAGGAGACCCAGGGGATCCAGCTGGCTGGGAGTTGATGGACTTCAGTTTAGGCAGAACTTGCTGCTTTAAGCTCATTTAAATTTGGCAACTTTGAAAGCATAGTATAGTTTGGCATCCAATATCAAAGAACTTCTAGCTGGGGGTTTGCACTTAACTTTATTTGTGTTTCTAATGAATAACTACATGGATTTGCCTCAGTTTCCTCCTTGGTTCCTTGCTGTTCTGTCGGTAGTGATCACCTAGTGCGCTCTCAGTTGGAGAAGCCTCCAAAGATGCCCTTGAAGAAGCGATAGATGGGTTTGGGGATCTCCACGGCAAACAGAACGGAGCTCTCCTCCTCCTCCTGGAGTTGGACCACGGGCTGTGCGGATTGGGAGCGCTTTCCGCCCGCGACGGGTTGCTCCTGGAAAGGCAATTGTTGCTGGTTGAGATGCTTGAGATGGTTGAGGAGCAGCTGCTGGACGGCAGCCTGCTCCTTCTGAACTTGAGTGAGGCCATTGTTGGCCTGCAGCTTGATGGGCTGGCTCACGTGGACATTGGTGGCCTTAATCAGATCCTGGAAACTGATGCTTGCCGAGGGAGGATTATTTCCGCCGAACAGCTCCGAAGCCGGAACCAGAAGTGGGAGGGCAGCCAGATTTATGGGAAACAGGACACTGGCATCTGCCTTTTGGCCATCACCGGATGCCTGACTGGCCAGAGGATTGGGGATCAGGTAGAAGTTGGGCTTCTGAGTCTGCTGCTGCTGCGGTTGCTGCTGCTGCGATTGCTGCTTCTGTTGCTGCTGCTTCTGGGGCTCCTCGGAAAAGGAGCGGAGCTTTCCAAAGTACGGGTACCCCCCGTTCTCCTGGTATCCAGCAGGCAGGCCTGCGACTTGAGAGTGGTTCAGGTTCTGGTTCTGGTTCTTGTTCACATAAAATGGATTAGGGAGAAGCACCAAGCTGAGGCCCACAACCTTGGGGAAGTCCGTGAAGGGATTGGGCAGGAAGGGAAACGGCTTGGTCTCCTCGTGGATGTGGGTGTGGTAAGTCACGTTGCTCGTGGAGTTCGCAGTCTGATTTAGGTTAACATAAACGGGTTCCTGTTTCTGGAAGGGATTGGCCAGGAAGGGCAAGGGTAATCCCGGCTTCTTCTGGTTGGGATAGTAGTGCGTGTGAATGTGCTGGGTCGCATTGGCATCCGAGGTGTTTACCCCTGAAGCGAGTGCCCCATTCGGGTAGGATTGGTACTTGTTGTAGTAGCCCGGATACTGGTTCAAAGATTGAGATCCATTGCCCACTTGCACTCCCTGGTACTTGAAGATCTTCTCCAGGTCTTGAATGCTTATCTGTGGAATCTGGTTTTGGTTTTGGTTTTGACCAGGTTGCTCGTACACCAGCTGGATACTATTGTCGCGACCTTGGACTTCGGGATGGTTTTGGGTTATTACTTCTTCTTTGCCAGGCTCCTGATCCTTGGATATCTCATTGGAAGTGAGCTGCTTTTCCACTGGACTAACAACCTTACTCACACTGGCATTTGCTTCCTGGCTTTCTTTAGTAACTTCTGGTGCAACCTCAACGGAATGGGTGGCTACAAATGAAACCCCTTCGGGTTGGCTTTCCTGAACTCCTGGATTTGAGGCGTTCGCCACCTCAGCTGGAACCTCCTTGACTGCAACGCTTTCGCTAGGCACAGCAGGTGAGTTTTCCGGAAGATCTTGGGAGGTGATCGAGCCACCCAGCTGCGGTTGGGTTTCCAGTACTTCGTTGGCAACTTCCTGCTTGACCTCCGCGGGCTTGGTTTCTTGAGGTGAAACGGCAACTTCCGGAGCCGTGTCCTGATCTAAGACTCTGCCCTGAGTGGCCACCAGAACACCGAGTCGTAGAGGATGCTGGTGGAGAAATTGGAAGGCCAATATTTAACTATTGTACTACCCAAGGACTCCTTCCCTCGGTTGACTTACCATGATGAGAGTTTCAGTGGAACTGTGCCAATTCAGACTTCACCCTGGCTATTTATACTAGCGCTGGACAAAGGTCACATGCCTAATCTCCGCAGGAAACGTCCACCCATCGATCAGCTAGTTCTATTCCGACTATCTCCCGCAATATCCCGGGGCACTTTGCGTTCTTTTGCTATTATCGCTGCGATTTGGGTGATTTGTGTTCGGTTCACTTCACTTGAAAGGCGCCAGTGGCAGGAATATCGGTAAAAATGGAATTGCACTTAGGTTATATTGTGCCAGTGCTATCTCTCCGACCCCGACCCCGATCCCTACCCCCACCCCTCCCCCCGCTTATCCGCGAGTTTATTTGGTTCGTTTTACGTGCAACATGAAAATGCCATTGTTTCCGAGGCGCACAAACGGAAATCTATGACTCGCTTTTCAATGTTTTTGTTCGATGGAAAAATGCATGGGCGAGTGCAAAAGACTGTCGTCTGTGAGGAAAGTGAGTAGCAGCAGCAGCAGCAGCAGCAGCAGCAGCTTAAGGCTAAATCGGTGGAAAGCGGTGGAAAGCAGTGAAAAGCGGGCGGAAAAGGGGCAGGACTGGGTGGCAAAGGGAACTGGCTTCCACGGGCGCAAGTGCACATCAGCTGCATATTCATGGCAAGAGCTTTATCTTCGGAACTTTGTTGCCGCCCCATTTCCCTGCCCCATTGACATGTCGCCAGGTGAGCGATGAGTGCTACCTGGTCATTGACATGCCAGGTGAATGGAGGAGTGCACAGTGCTGGGCAGGAGGAGGCAGATCTGGGGCTGGGGCAGATCCCTTCGTGCACATCTCCTGCTGGGCTTTGTAATTGAATTGCCCGACGCATGGCTCGGATTTTTGGCATACTCCGATTTGATTGAAGGTTTTTGTCGTTGACAGACAGAAATACCCCACTGATTTGAATCGATTTTCGAGCTGGTCAAAAGGAAAATACGACAAACAAGTAAATGGACTTCTTACACGCAAATTACTAACTACAGGCGAGGTGAATGCGAAGTTCAGCAGCAATTAAATATTATGGATGAACACATTAGTCGGCCAATTAAGTTATGGTAAGTATGTGGGTAAGATGTTCAGCTAATTGAGCGTAATAAAAATAGATGAGTTGTGCCAAGACATGCTGTCATGGTTAAAAGAAAGGCCAACTAATCTCTTACAGATCCATCTCAATTTCTGTTCTGTTCTGGCTTTCACTTGCCCTTGTTTATTCATAAGTAATACACAACTGAAAGTACATTCCAGGTGCACTTATTTCGCCTTTCAAGAATGAAATGTTCTGCTGTTTTCTCATTTTGATTTGGCCAATAAAAGAAAACTAATATCCAAGCACTTGTCAGTTTGAAAAACAAAGAGTGGAAATGGGCAGGCAACCCAAGTCGACAACTATTCCAATCCGAAGGAGCTGAAGTTAAAGCTGAAAATAAGGCTGAAGTTGCTGCTGGGCCACGAAATGGTTTTGCGCAGCGGCAGATGAGCTGTTGAAATTGCAAGTGCGGCACTTGCTCAATTTTTCATGAGCCTCCCACTCCCACTACTCGATTTCAGCCTCTGCGCACGATAAAGCAAGATGAAGTCGACTGGGGAATACCCTAAGCTATTGCCAACCAATTGAAAGCGTTTGTATGGAAAATCAGAAGTTGTGCGCTTCATTTAACAAATGGTTGCTGTGTTTTACTTTTTTGTCTATCATATGTTTTAAGATGAGATTTCTTAGGTATGCCGAATGCTAAGCTGTTAATATACCTATGACTCCCAGTCGCCAATGAACTCCGCCAGCAGCTGGAGAAGGAGGAATTCGCCTGAGCCACAACCCACACAAGCTGGGCCCGAAATCGCAGCTCCGAATGCCAAAGGAGCGGAGGTGGACAGAGGAGCCCGGATGAGGAGCAAGGTGCCAGGAAGGGGATCTGTGAAAAGGCGAAATTAGCGGGCAGCTCCCTCGGCTCTATGAGCATGCTGCAACCAGCCTCCAGAGGCGGCCATCGCGGCCAGACAATGAGGCGAGTTGCGGCCCTTGACTTGGCCAACTCCCAACTGCAAGCTACGAGCTCCAAGCTCCCAAGACCCCGGATCCGAAGGCACACGAAAATAATAAGGAATGAATGTAAATAAATGGTGCTAGGGGTAATGGCAACGAATGGACGACAAAAACAGAAACCCCAAGAGGGGCAGGCGGCCAGGGCAGCGGGGGAGCGGGGGAGCGGGGGAGCAGGAGACGACGCCCAAGGCCAAGGCAGCATCATCATCATGGTCAGTGAGATAAGCTGGAACCTGGATCGCTTCGCCAGTTTCAGTTGCAGTTGCAGGCGAGGGTACGTAGCACGGCAGCCAGCACAGTGGCGGCAAGTGAAATAGCACTCGCAAAATAAAATAAATAAAGTAAAGAGCATATTGAACACAAAATATTCGCCGTGATTACTATAAAGAAATCCACTGTAAAGCATTATTTTGCAGGCAATTAAATATGGCATTTTCTAGGCTGGCCAACTTAGGTTCCGAACCACTTTGGGAGCTGAGTGCTATGCAATATATGGTGCGAAGTGCTCCCAAAGCCGCTTCTATTGTCAGAACCCCAGCTGTGCCGCCGCAGATTCTTCTGGCTGAGCCGCTTCACTCTTTCCCCTGTTTTTTCAGCTTTTTTGGGTCGAACTCTGGCATTTTGGGTGTGTGCAGTGCAGCGGCGATAAGATCAACGTGTGAGCCTTGCCAGGCTGTGGCATCTGCAGCAGGTGTTTCGCTTTCAGGTGCTGCCACACAATATGGGTAACAAGTTGCACCATCCTGGCCAAGTTTATCGCCACATAATTCACACGGAGCCCTCAGCCGGGGAGGCCATATCCGAATTGATTGACTCCCGCTGGGGTGTGGAAGTGGCAGTGGGAGTGGGAAAGTGGGAAAATGGAAAAATCAAATAGCCCGGAGCTGAGGGGCCCAGGCAGCAGGATTCACCTGCAATACAACACTCAGCCAGGACCATGCTCCACTAGGCAAATATGGCAGGCGACACAAAGAGCTCCAGCAGCCCAGCAACCCAACAGCCCAGCCGCCCACATTCATCACATCCGCATGGCAGTGCCATCAAGATCTGGCCATCATCGCCCGTCCTCGTGCGCGCTTAGAATTCAAAACATTTCAGACAAATTGGCGTTGCTCTTTGAGCCCCAATGTGTGACAAAATGGAAGGCAAACAGACCGGACTGGACCAGGATCCCCCTGGATGCGCCCCCTCCTCCCTCCTCGGGCTGGACAATGCAGGAGCGCAGTGGAGAGTGCGCCGCCCGCCCTTGTTTAATTTATGCCAAAACATTTCTGAAGCGACGTTGACGACGTCATTTGGCTCCGGAGTACGGAGACCCGACCAGCTCACACGGGCCCACAGCAGTTAGCCCTGTTCTCTCCAAATCTGGCCTGGGATTGAGGTGTCACTTGATATGCAATAAATAAGCTGCTGGGAAATGTGTTAACGAGCCTGCCGGGGCAGGAGGTGGTCATAAGTGGTGCACATCGCGAAAATGAGTACTTGGAACTTTATTGTGAAAATGGGAAAGAAGTTTCCTATGGCAATACTATTGCTGAAACAATAAGGGATTTGAGCTACACAATGTAAGCGCTTTTCTTTGTGATCCCTCTCTAGTTTTCTCCAAGTGCACGGGGGAAGCCTCCACAGAGGGCCTTTGGACTCCGGAGAGAGCTACTTTTGTGCCGTCTGTTTTCCAGCAGCTTGCAACGCCTTGGCGCCACAAAATGAACGCCATTCATGGGGCAACGTGCAACGAGAAGAATGTGACCCATTTTAAGCACCAGTAGCCATTCTCACCTCCCCTCCTCCCCATCTGTCCGCCATCCCCGCCAGAAAACCCCACTGAGTATGCTGTTGTTTGTCTAAATGTTTGCCCATATATGGTACAGCCAGCTATATAAATATGTGAACAGCTTTTAGCACCTTGCCCCCGCACTCGAGTGGAGTGCTCAAGTGGTCGGAGCGGCAGTTGAGCGTGTCCCATTCCCAGTGGCAGCCGGAGTGGAGATCCCCCGGAGAATCAGCCGGAGCACGTGCGTCCGCCAGACAATGGCAGCTTAAGAAGCATCTCCGCTCGACCCGTCAGCTAATGCGGGAATACCGGAATGCGGAGTGTGGGAACTCCACTAGCTGCACTGCTTCTTTTTCAATAATATTTCCCTTTGGGTTCGAGCAGCGATACATTTTTTATTTCGTTTTCTACGTTTCATGGTTGCACAGCGAGAAACTTGGGATCGCTTCAAAGTACTGGTCATAATATGTATGTATTGCATCCATCTAGTTGAACTCCATACTCTAGGTTCATAAACAGAAAACTCCAGTAAATATCGTAGTAAAACGCAGCATTAAATCAATATTTTTCTGTGTGCTCTTCGCAAGGCGGGGCCATTTTCAATTAAGCAAAATTAAAAATTTATTACGAGAAACGACCGAAGGAAAACAAAGGATCTGAAACAGGAACAGCATCGCAGGGCAGGGCAGGACGAAAAGTAAATTGCAGAGTAACTTGGGGTAAAGAGATGTTTATGTTTTCATTAAAAAAAAAGGGAAACCGAACCAGGTTGGTATGCAATGCTTGGTTTCCGATGGGCTGGGATCCCAGTGCGTCGGTGGATGATTGGGCTGCCTCGACCCAAAGGCGGCATCGCCCTCGTCCGTTATCCTTTCGCCCGTTTTATTTGCGCTGAAGTTTTAATCATTGAAGTGACATTGACAGCCAGTGGAAAAGTGGTGGCATCGCGTATTTTACTGGCAGAGGGCCAGCCAAATATTTATGGGTTTTAAGTGATTATTGAATTTGATAGGCGGTCGGTCGCAAGCGAAAAGTTTCATCGCGCAAAAGATAGAGGATATTAAAAAAGTTTTTCATAACACTTGTGAAAAGTTTGAATGGCACGCAAATAAACGGGTTGATAAATACGAATTTGATGGGCTGACTTGATTAATGGCGATAAAGTTAGCTTGCGGCCATATAACACGAATTATTACCTAAGAAAATATTTGCTTTATTTGGGCGTCTTTGTTAATAGGACTATTTTCAGAGGCTGCTGAAGAATGTGGTAGAAAATGAGATAATATAATATTTATTCAAGCACGTTTTTCCCACTTCCATCTGCAGCCTCTTAATTTGCAAGTTATCCTGTTAGCACAATTCAATTAACTAACCTTCCTCAACAGTCTGTGGCTTGTCAAGTCGCTCCTCGTCCTTTGATTCCTTTATTCCTTTAGTCCTTTAGTCCTTTATTCCCTTTGTAATCCGCGTCCTCTTTCGCTCTCCCCTTGCAACAGTTGCGTTATATTTCAATTAGCATAGCGCAACGAACATTTATGCGGCGATAAGTTTTCTTCAATTAAAACTTTGGCACAGACACAGCACAAACACACGGACACGGACACGGAGACGCACACACACGCTAATTAAACTTTGGCATAAATTTTAATTAATATGATTTTCTCGTGCTTTTGTTACTTTACTTCACTTTGTAACTACTTCACAAAGTGTGGAGTGCATTTCAATTCGAGTAAATAAATGTGAGGCGCCACTAATAACACACTTCCGGTTTCCGGCCACGGTTTGTTTTCCTTGCCTCTCCTTTCTGGGGCTTTTCAACAATGGCGGTGGAACGACTTCCGCCCTCACACACACACACTCATACACACATGTTGTGTGTCTTGCGGTAAAAATACAATTGCCTTAGGTTCTTTTTCTGTTTCTGTTTATTTGTTGCACGTTTTTGCTGTGGCTTGGCTTGGCTGCCACCTTTAGTTTAATTCTCGCTGGCGCCTGTGTGTCGCGTGGTGCGCTACTCCTCCATTCGGAGGTTCAACGGACTGCTGCTGGGCTTCGGGATCGGCCGTCTATACGGCTATGCTCTATGGCTATATGGCTATAGAAGCTGGGCTTTCTGGCCCGCTTTCGCCGGCGACTCTCGACACTTCCGCTCCACAACGCGCACAGCAACCGAGACCAACGGACGGCGGCTGCAGACTGAGCCGCGCGAAAAAGGTTTTTGCAAACTGTTGAAAATCGCACGGAAAATCTGCGAGCCGAAGCAATTGCCGAAGTTGATCCCCACGGAGCAACAACAAAGCCCAGCTTCGGGTTCGGCTCCACATGTTGCCAGCAACATCAGCAGCATCGGCGACATCGGCAACATCAGCAACAGCGGCAGCAACAAATGTGCACAGCACATGAGAAAATGTTGCTAAGCGCTGACTTCATAATTCTAGTTGTTTTAATACGCTTTTAAAAGGGAGTTCAATTGTTTAAACATGCATTTAATATATGTACTTAAGGCTAAGATCTCTTGCTCTATGATCTGTAGAACCGCACTTTATTATGGGTCAACTGTTAAGTTTAAATTTATACTTTATTGATTACCCATAGATAGTAATTATGGAAGAGTATCCCAGCCTCGTGCTCCCAAAGGCGTTAGCTCATCTGGTTTTTGCTGCTGTTTTTTCATTTTAGGCGGGAAATATGTGTGTTTCTGCTGTTGTTACTGTGGCCAGCAGCAGCTTGTTGTCTCATTTTGTTGTAGCTGCAACCAGCCATGTAGCAGTGATTATTTTGTCAATTGCAGTGACACAAAGGCATCTGTCTCTAATGCCAAGCCCGATTCCGAATCCCCCTCCTCGACTACTTGGAGCGATTATTTCGATGTTGTCTTTGTTATTTGGGAGCTAAAGAGAATGATTCGGTTGAGGGGGGATTTGGGGGCATGGCTTACAAAGCGGGCTTAAGTAGTTGCGGATTGTGAAGAGCGCTTTGAGGGCATTCAATTGATTCCGATTCCCATGAATGGCAAAGAGTATTCGCGACGACATCAAAGTGCTCCAATCGAATGATTCACTTGCCTGTAATGGATAGCTATGTTTGCACACAGATACTCGTACATGAATATGTATAATTTACTTAGCTGATTAGAGGATAAGCGGATTATGCAAATGATGGTCACTCCCACAACAAAGTCCCATATAAATACTAAGCAGTAGAGCAGTGGAAATGAAATTATTTCAGCTACAGCTGCGAACGGAATCCAGAAATACACACGGCCTACATCATGCATTTTTAATATAGCACACGCATATTTTATTTTAAATCAATTCAAATTATTTCCGAAAAGAATTTAAAGAGATTTTCCCAGCCAGACAATAGAATGCATCGAATGTTTTTGACCACAGAACATGAAACACTCGGTGGCTTGTGTTTAACCAACTAAAAACTATTTTATTGTGTTCAGTTGCATCTGGTTTCCCAAAGGATTTTCACCCATTTCCAACGTTGTTGCTTGTAACAGGCGAAAACAAAGGCGGGTAAAAATAATTAACGAAATTGAATGCAATATTTTAATTGGATAAACATTAGGCTTTTATATTGGCTCAAACTAGCCAGAGAACCGGAATAATAAATTGATTGTAAGATAACAAAAACAGTCGAAATTATTGAGAGAATAACAAATAATTTAACGCCTTTTATACCGAAAATGTACTCCTTTTAAAGCCTAGGTATGTAAGTTAATATTCCCTCAAGTTAAAGTGCCGCCATTAAAGTACATTTTAAGCGCCATAAAGAGCCTGGCCAAAAGAGGGAAATCGACAGTTTATAAATTGAAAAGCTGGCCACAAAACGCCAGCTCCGCAATCGGTTTCCATTTGCACTGCAAGCGAAATTAAACGAAATCAAATGGAGTAAAGTGAATCAAAATCAGGCAACAGTAGCCGCTGCTGCTGGCGAAATTAACGAAAATCATTTCAACAGCTCCTGGGCCACTCAAAAGGGCACTCGTTCACCCCCTGCCAGGAAATCAAGGATCCCAGGAATCCAGGCATCCAAGCATCCAGGCATCCAGGCATCCAGGAATACTGGCATACAGGAGCATGCCCCGCCAGCATCCATAGAAATGCTGGTAATTAAGCGCTCTTCAGCGGCGCACCAGTGAAAAAATGCTTAAAAATAAAAATGATGCAGCAAAACATGAGAATTAAAACGAAACACAACAAATTAAAATGGAATTTAAGCGGCGCCAGCACCAAAAACAGCACCCGAAACCGGGACAAATGCAAACAACTTCCAGCCCGAGCAGTGGCTAAAAGCATTTCCGGCTCGGCCAGGCCAAGGGAACCAGACCCAAGGAATGCCCCGAAAGTATGCTAAGGAAGCGGTCCCGCCGGGGCGCTGCCAAGTGCCACGCCCACTGCACTGCCACAAATCGGGGAGGACTTTGGCGAACCATCAGCTGGTTCATGGCTACAGTTTAAGTTAATGGCATCATTAGCTGCGATTCGTTTTAAGAGCACGCTGTTTAGTTTAATTAATTAATTTGTAGTTCATTTAATTATGGAGTATTATTGGTTTTGGTAATAAATAAAGAACAGACAACAAAATCTAACACACCTTCGCCTTTAATATGGGGGGAATCGAATGAATTTTCGAATTTTCCGTGTAAGCCAGGCCAACAAGAACAACATGAGACGGACAAAAGGAGTAGCGGCAACAACAAGTCAGAACAAATTTCTTTATAATATACAAAGGAAATGCCAAGCTGAGGGGCCCAAACGCGCAGACAAACAGGAGCAATCTGCCGGGTGAAATGGGGAGAGGGGGGACCATCGCCAAGAAAGCGTAGTCCAAATGTGACACAAACATGTGTATGCTCAGCTGGTGCCCGGGCAACAACAAAAGGAGCAGCCAAAGGATTACCACCAGGCATTCGGAGCGGAGGTGGCGGGTTTCCAGGGGCGTTTCCAGGAGGCAAGAGGATGCCAGGCGACTGCGTGCGTTAATAATACGCATACGACACGTTGTACGCGGCAAAGGCAGCTCTGCAAGTGACTCCGGCCATACATCATAACGTTGCCCGGAGAAACGTCGACAGGAGACGGTGTGGGCGGTGGGTCAGTGGGTGGCGCCGACCTTGATTACGTTTGCAGCCTCACTGACTCCACCTCAAAGGAGGATGCCAAGGAGGAAGCGCAGGTCCTCGGCGAACGCATAAAATGTATTTAACACACAATTTATGTCTGCACGGGGCGCTCAAATTTACAGCCCGCAGGCAAGTTGCTGGCTGAAGGTTTATTTTATTGGAGCAGCAACGGGAGCAGCCGCATCCTGGCAGGACACCGAGTCAACAGCACTGCCAGGACTCACAGGATACCCCCACTTGCCACCCCTCTGGCCGCTTTGTTTGCCAGCCATTTGTTCTACACATAAATTGGCCCGCGGGAGCATCAAGCAAAAATCATATGTTTTATACATGGCCAAAGTTCGCTCATGTGCGGCAGTAAGGAAAAAGTTTAATAGACTCGACTTTAATATTCCAGATTTTTCCCCTTTTCCTTTTCCCGCCGCATCGTGAACAAAAAGTTCTTATTTTGATTTTATGACTCTGATGTCGTCGCCTTTTTGTGTGCACTTTTTGAGGATTGTAAGCCAAAGTTGACATGGCCAAAACCGAAAAAGGGGAAAGTTTTATGAAGTCGAACTTTAAACTCCGGCAGAGGGATGGAATTATGATGGAAATGCAATGATGTAATACGCAGCTTCAAAGTCAGCAGGGCCAACTGTTTTCCAGCTTATTGCTAATTGATGCAGTGAATTGTTATATGATTTAGATGTATCAAGTTATAAATAGAGTTACCTAACTTTTGTACTGCAGCAGTATCAGAATAAATAAATATCAATTATGTCATACATAGGAACCAAAAGCAATTTGAAAGTTGTGAGCATTCCCAGCCTTTTCGAAAACTTAAGAAAACCCCACAGACAGCTTAAAAAGCCGAAAGTGCAAAATCTGCTGCTCACATGTGACTTTTTCCCCACGCAGGACAACAAAAAGCAGCGAAAATAAAAGGGAAAACTTTTAATTTTCCGCAAAATGCTTTTCTTGACAACAACTTTTCATTTTTAATTAAATGTGCAGACCAGAGAGTTTCGGAGCAGGAAGTCGGGGTCCAGCAGCTCGTCTGCGGTCGCCGTTTCCCATCGGAGAGTCCCAGAGAATCCCAGAGAATCCCAGAGAATCCCAGAGAATCCGGAGTTCCCATTTCCCGACCCACCTTCCACTATAAAGCTCAATTAGCTAAGGGCAACGCGCGCTGCTCAATCAAAGAGCCAAATGCACCAAGGTCTCGGCAGATCCGAGTCCAAATCGTGCATTGCTATTTGTTTGTTTGGGCTGCTTATCAGCCGGGCCAGGAACCAAGATCAGTTCCCAGTGGGCAACAGTGGGTGGGATGGGCACTTTCAAACCAAAATTTCAAACCAAATATTTCAAGCTCATCAATTGTCTACAAGTTTGCCACACTTGTGCTCAAGGAAATAGCGGCTGCATACTTTGAATAAAGAAAGCACTTAATATGGCTATAATAACTTTTCCTAACTTTTTGGGTTAGATATGCCAAAACATGCGGTCTTAACCCATGGTGGCCAGCCAGTTTCGGGCGTAGAGGCAATTGCAGTCACGCACCTCACGAGTGCGCCATTATATTCTCACCTTATGATGACTGACTGCGGGCTGCACAACGCGAACCCAAAGGGGGGTCTCGGGGGGGTCTCGGGGGGATTTCGGATATCGTTGGGGGGCAGGACGCGACCGGGAGGCGGGCGAGGCAATTGAAAAGCCGCAAACAATAATTGCAGTTGCCTAAGCCGAGGCCCGAAAACCGCAGCAATTTTTGTGTGCTGCCCCTGAAAACGGGAAAGGGAATGCGGCTCATCCTGTTCCCGCAAAGAGGGGCTGGTGGAGCTGGAGGTGGGGGCTCTGGAGGGCTCAGAACGCGAATTAGGCAAATTGTCTGCCATTTCGCGTATTCTTTTTCTTTTTTTCCCCAGTCCTTCGATCATCCGTGGCCATCGATTGTCTCTGCTAAATGTTCGTGTCGGTGAAACTGTGCTAAGACTGGCTCGTTGTGCTGGTTTTCATAACTCCGACTCCAACTCCGACTCCTGCCCCCTGGAACTGCGTCCCTGGGTTTTCTCCGCGACACGCGGA